CGAGCCCGTTTGGTATCCCATTTTTTAGACTTATCAGCCAACATTTTCACCAAACATGTAATTTTTTATTTTACACGTTGAATTGCGTAATAATAAGAAAAAATAAGGTTGAAGTTACTTTTTCAGTTGTATTGGTGAAATTACTGTAGAGGACCATTTTAGCTATTTTTAATTTTTTGCATGCTCCCTCCGTCCCGAAAAGGTTTGCCAAATTTCCTTTTTTGGATGTACCAAAAAGATTTGTCATTTACATTTAAAATAAGGAATATGTGACTAAAGTTAATTCTATTTCCTCTGCACAAATCTCAACCACACACTTTTTATTTTATTAATCCACGTGAAAGTCAAAGTTGGCAAACTTTTTCGGGACGGAGGGAGTATAATTTTTTCTTTATTTAAATAATAAATATATTTTACATATAATTTTTTAATAAATCAGCAGAATCAACCAATTCAGTTACTTCAGCTAGAACTTCATAAAATTTTGCAAAATCAGCTGATTCAGCCAATTTTGTCATTATCAAACGGGGTCTACATATTCTATCTAAGTCCCTACGATATTTTACGAAGGCTAGATACTCTTACAAACAAGACACGTAATTCTTCAACTCTTTCAATTTCACAAAATACTTAACTCTTCAACTCTTCTAGTTTTACAAGACACGTAATTCAAGTGCGTCCATAAAATATCTGAAATATAAACACATTACACATATTATAAGGACCACATGTGATATGTGTGTGTAGACGTCCAATTTTTAGACGTTCTATTTGTAATATAAAATGTCTAAAGGTTACTCGATAGATAAAATATTTGTTGTGACATTATTTAACACAGTTAGGTTGTGCAAACTAATTTTGTACGTATGAAACTACTTTTTTATTTTCTTTTTAGAAATAATATTTATGATTTTTTACTTTAAATCATACGTTAACCGTCTCTTATTAAATTATTCATATTCATATATTGTTTCCATCCTAATATTTGAAATACAATAGGAAACATATACCATAATAAGTATGCTTACAAAGTGTATATGCAAAAAAGTGTGAAGAATTTTTAGAGGTCATATTTAGAATTTATAAATGTCTAAAGATTACTCAAGAAATAGAGTATTTGTTGTGGCATTATTTAACATACTACATCCGTTCTAATTTGTTTTGTAAAGTCAACATTTTTTGGTGAATCAATGTTAAAGTTAAATCCTCCTTATTGATAAATAATTCAATGCTAACAATTCATTAAAATATACATATTCAGAAACTGCATTAGAATCTCGATAAAGTTGCATAATCCAAATTAAAATTTAATTAAAAATCTCTATATAGTAGAATTCTACAAATTCTACTATGGTCAATGAAATAGACGATTTAGATAATGCATCCACTTTCTTGAATATTTCATCTTTCAAATATATTTTGAGCCCATCATTTGATCGTTCCTATTTAGTAGATGTCATTGGCAAATGTTCATCCAAATTTAGAAACAGATACTTTAAGGAACAGTGAGTTGGGGTTAAAACTATACATGCTACTATAAGACATCATCTAAGTAATATTTTTTGTAGATTACCTATTCATGTATGCATGACTCTATATAATTGAATATATTTTCTTGGAGGGGAGCAACTATACCATGCGTAATGTGGGGTGAAAAGAATGAGTGTACGTTGGGGAAAAAATAGAAGTAATTCCAAGCTACCTTTTATAATTGTTACACGATTGGGGCTTAGTCACACATTTAATAATAACTTATATTTACAATTCTTATTTAAAAAGGTTAATATATGATATATTTAATAACACATGCTTTATTTTTTTACAAGGAGAAACATATGTGACTATGTTTTTTTTTAAATAGCATTATTGTGCTGAATGGAAAGGACAAATGGGGCATTGACTTTCGAGAAAGGTATGGACAATAAGAGCAATTAGATCTATTTTAAAAAATATAATATTTATAAAATATAACACTATATTTTATTGAATATTTAGGATCCTAAAAGAGCCAAACTCATCTAATCTCACTCGCTAAGACTTACCCACACTTCTTACAAGAAAAGGAGTTTTGAAGATTTATTGTTAAAAGTTTAGTTTATGCCTCTAAAACAGTTGCTAAATTGATAATGTTTAAAGATGCATCTCTCTGACTACATCAATTTTATGTATACAAAATTTGTTAATCATTTGTATCACATATACTATTTTCTAATAAAGGTTGGGAAGCATATTGGTTTGGAAAGTATTATGCCATCAAACATAAATCTCTTCCATGCAGATATGTAGACAACCCGGCCAATTTGTTAATAGCACATCAATGTCTGGATTGCCTAATCTTGCATGTTCTCCATTTAAAACTCAAAGCACCGATAATGTTTTTGAGAAATATTGATTAGGAGGAGTAGATAAGAGGTCATAGGCTACTTATTTGTTCAAAATAAAGAGGGTTCTCCACCAAGACTGTTAATGTTGTTTATAAGGAGGTTTTTCAAAACCTAACCATGTGGACCATGTGGTATCTTATGTGTTTGGTGTTACACGATTCACATGTTTTGTACAATATCAATATTTAATTGCTTCTCTTTGATTAAAAAACCATTCAAAGTAAAGGAACTTTTGTAGGAGGTGAAACAATATATTACTATATGTATAAGAATATATATATTTCAAACAGTTCTAACAACCTCACTATGCACCCCGGGGAAACGCCCGGGTAAAACACTAGTTCCTTGTGATTTCATTTCACCGATTACTTGTATAGTGCCCCTCCTTATATGATTACACACATAGTAATCTTTTTTAAAACAATGCATTGTTCCTAAAAAGTGAGTACAATAATTGAGCACTACAAAATAATACCCTGTATAAGTCCATACAAATAATATGTAGTATTAAAATTAAATGAAACAATCCATTAGAGCATCCACATTGATGATTCTCAACTTTACGGTTTTTCATAGCTTATTATTGTCATGTCACCTCCATATAAGTCAATCTCAAATAATCATCAAACCTATAAATTTCTCCTTATTCATGATCTTAATTTACCTATATTTTTTATGAGACATACACTCAATTTCAAAAACTATATTACTATATATATAGTACTATACGTACACTATTATATACATGTATTATACGTACTACAAATTATATACTATATTAATAATAAAGTACTATTCATACACTATAAATTATTGTATCTAACATTATATATTTTAATTTATAACATTTCAACTAATGTATTTTCTTTAATATTATTTCAATTAATGTATTAAAACATGCATATGTAGTAGTGCTAAATAAAATGACATGCACTTTCAATTTGGATTGAATTGAACTTGGATGGTTAACATATGTAGCACATGCACTTTCAATTTGGATTTACTTGTTCAAAGGACAGTGCATTTAAAGGAATATGACATGCATGAGCTCTTCAACTTAATCAATGAGTGTGTCTAGAAAATCAGGAGGGGATCCTAGAAATTGGAAATAATCCTCAAATAATCTAGTTTTAGAATTTGATACCAAATTATTTTATCAAATAATCTCTACAAATTATCCTAACTTCTCAACCATGATCTCAAAAAAATCTTACACATCATCACAATGATCTCTAAAATAATCTATGGATGAGGATGCCCTATTTTTTATCATTGATATTGGCCGTGTTTTGGAAACCCGTTTTTGGATTGTTTAATTACGATTAATGATTTTGTTTGATAAGTAATTTAAATGCAAGCAAGTGCAGTGTGTAGGGCTTGGTTTCCAAAGGTAGTTGAATACTTGAATACTGTTATTTTTCTTTTTCTTTGATTCCTTGTTTGTGTTTGTCCACTTCCTTTTTCTCTTTTAGATTTATTTATGGTGTTTGTTTCTTTTGTGCTTGGATAAGAGTGATAATAGTAAACCTGCTTAACTAAGAAACAAATTAAAATAGCAATGAAAAGACCCGTGAACATCATTTTAGCAAAAGATACTTCATTGAGGATTTTTAACAAACACATTCCAGACAAAGTATTGATTCAAATTTAATCTCAACATTTTAAAGTAAAATGCAGGACTGAAATAAATCAAGAAAGAAAACAAAGAACTGATTGAAGGAGTTTCTCAATTTGTGTCTTAATGCAGGACTTAAACTTTTCTTCACAAAAGAATTATGCCTATTTCTTCTTCTCTTTGTAACATGCATTTTAATTTAAGAATTATGTGAATATGTCTATTTTATATACTTATCATTCTTTGTTTATTTAGGAGACATGCATCTTTAATTAGTGGAGAGTCCTAATTAACCTTAAATAAATACATAAACACCCTAATTCCATTTTAACCTAATTACCGTCTACACACACATCTCCCTTACTATGTTTTTTTTTAAATTCAGGTATCCAAGACTTGGTGGATGCCAAGAGGTCATTTATTCAATTAAATCAGGTATAGCTAATTAAATCAATGTTGGTTTATATAATTCGTGTTCATTGTCTATAATTCGTGTTCATTGTCTATGGGTGTTTTACCAAAAAACGGGAAAAGGTGGATGGGAGTGCCAAAATGCGGGGATTTTTCTAGGTTTTACCAAAAAGGGGGAGTCGGAACTCCCAATTCCGACTAGGATTTAGGGCTTCAAAAAACTACCCATTCCTCTAGTCGGATTACCCAATTCCGACTAGAATTTAAATTATTTTTTTTTGCCGAATTCTTAAGTTTTTTATTTTGAGTTTTAAAAACTAATAGTTGTAAGGCTAAATTCTATCCATTCCAAATTTAAAAGTTTTTTTAGATTCCTGACATATTTTTTAAAATGAAAACTTAGCATTTTGATTTTTTGAGTAACAAAACATTTGATTGCTTTATAGTGTTTTTAAATCCATTTGTATTGCCAATTTTGTTTTAATTGCAATTTTTGTAATTTTAAGTGCAATTTTGATTTAATCCATTCGTCAAATTAGATACAAATTTGATTTTGTTTTAAGTGCAATTTTTGTAATTTTAATGGAAGTGAACAAAACAAATGTAGTTTTCAATGTAATTTATTAATGAATAGAAAGTACATACAATATTAAATTTAATACTACATCTAACGTTGCGAGCTCGGCCCTGCTCCATCCCCACCGCCAGTGTTCCAAGGCCTCGTTGTGTCTCCATAGTAAAACGACGAATTGAGAAATGACTCAACATAATCATCCGCTTGTGTGGAGCACTGATAAGAATCATAATACGGCGGCGGTTCATCAAATGAGACACCTTGATGCGTTGAGAATTGAGGGGGTGGTTGATGAAATGAGACACCCTGTGTTGAGAATTGAGGGGGCGATTGTGAGTCCTCATCCCCACCTTCATGTTCATCTGCATCATCCTATTCATCACTTCCACCTTCATCTTCATCTTCATAATGGAATATGCCCCGATGGAGCATCTCTTCATCACCTACGACCAGGGCCATCTGCCGTAGTCGTTTTTGACAGTCCTCATAACTCGCGCGGTCGGCTAAGAGCTGATACACCTCGTGAACGCCTTGCTTCTGCATAACAATGTAACACGTGTAAATAATATGACACGATATATGTTAATGAATATGGTATGTATTCAAAAACTTACCACAATACCCCAATCGTGTGCTGTCGGGGTGTAGCCTGTCGTGGGCACATTGTGAGAAGGGTTCTGGACACGTGTCATACCATGCTTCTTGTACCAGTTTCGGTACCTATTAGTTGCTTCGAGGGACAAATGTAATTTATATAAAATGTAATTTGTAAAATTTAATATATATAGTTTTTGAAAACAAAACAAAATATTTCTAAAAAACACCCCTAGTCAGAATTGGGCTATCCGACAGGGGTTTTTATTTTTATTTTTCCTATTTTAATTCGACAGCACTTAAAATAGGCATATAAAAAATTCTATAAAAAAAACCCTGGTCGGATTTGTGAATTCCGACAGCATTACATTTCATTTTTTATTTACATTAAAATCTAAATATGTGTTGGTCCCATGTAATGCGGTACGGTTTGCACATCATAATACTCCATATTATTATTTACATTAAAGACATTAATGAATTTGTACATGTGGTTTGGATAGATGTGGTAGATGCGAAATGCTAGATGCGGTAGATGGGAAAAAAACAAAGGAAATATAATCACATGAATTTTGATATAAAATTTATTTGATTATCTGTTAAAATTCCATAATATTTGTATCTGAATTACAAAGATATATTAAGAATAATATTATACACTAAATTAAAATTCCAATTTCACAAATCAATGTAAAACACTTTCTAACTTTCAAGTAATTTATAGCCAAATTTAACTCTAAAATTCCAATTTAACAATCTAAACTAAAACATTTACAAATTGCTAAATGAACTACGTCTACACTCCTAAAACCAAACTTTAAGGCAAATTCTAAATTTAACACTCTTTCTAACTTTCAAGTATTTTATAGCTACATTTAACTCTAAAGTTCAAATTTAACAAATAAATTAAAAAATTTACAAATTACTAAATCTACTCCTTCTACACTCCTAAAAAACTAATTAAGTCAAATTATAAGTTAAAGATATATATAGCCTTTTTAATTTAGTGATACTATCTCCGTCTAAATCAATATCGTAAATATATAAATAATAAGTACGGAGTAATATATAAATCACATTTAATTAATTAGATGCGCGTAATATTATTATAAAGATATTAAATTATAAAGTAATTAAGTAGATCAATTATAGGCAAATTTAACTCTAAAATTCCAATTTAACAATCTAAAGTAAAACATTTACAAATTACTAAATTAACTACTTCTACACTCTTAAAATGACAACAAATAAAATGAAATCATTGTAAATTCTACTTAACTTGAACTATACATACCGGGAGTTTCGTAGTTCTGAAACGTTTGGCGGTTGTTCCTCCGACTTGATGATGGGCCTTCCACTCCGGGAGTTCCGTGGAACGTCAAATTTTGTGGCGGGGTCACTGAAGCTTCCACGTAAATGTGCAACTCCTCATACTCATTTGTAGCGATCCGGAAAAAATGACGCCATGTCCGCTCATCATGAATGGGCCATAATCTAGAAGCAACATATACCGAATTCTTATATTTCGGAAATTTTCCGTGAATTAATTTAATTTCGGAAAATCCGTCGCCTCTAACATGATTTAGAACATTCTCATGTATAGTAGTATAATCATCTTCTTCACTGATGAATAGTACAGCCCTAGGAGGTATGGAGTACTCTATTTCATCATCTTTTCGAGATGTAGAGCGCGCCATTCCAATGAACCATAACAACAATATTACCCTCACTAGACATTTTTATATATGGTATATATTATAAATATAATATGAGAGGAGAGTGCTAAACAAAAAAAATAATGAATATATCAAAGAAATTAAAGTAAGAAGTGTTTTTGGGTGAATAATGAATAAATTACTATAACAAAGAAATAAGTGTTTTTGGAATGTGTTTGTAAATTTTGAGAAGAAATGAAGGGATTTTATAGGGGTATCAGTGTAGGAGTTCGGTGAAATACTCGAACCCCAATTAAACATGTCACCTAACTTTTAAAAAAACTACACAAATTTATTCAAAAAAAAACTACACAATACTCTAGTCGGATTCCCCAATTCCGACTAGGGGTTTTAAAAAAAATCACAAAACTCTAGTCGGATTCCCCAATTCCGACTAGGTGTTTTAAATTATTGGGGGCACTGCTCTAGTTGGATATGGTGATTCCGACAGGAGAAAGGCGTGAAAAATGAAACCCTAATACGCTAGTCGGATTCTCCAATTCCGACTCCCGCTTTTTGGTAACCTAAATCACTTTCCAGTGTTTTGGAATGTCAGACAAGAAACTCCCGTGTTTTGGTAATGTCCTCTCCTTATTATAGCTTGTTATGTTGTCGTTGTTGATAAAAAGCGGTTGTGTGGAATCTCAAATATGATTGTGGCAGTAGCATTCAACGTACTTGAATATAGTAATGGAAACAAGAGAAAATGCAGCTTTTAATCCAAACAATGTCTAATTTTGATACTTTATGTACTGTAGTCTGAATCTGAGTTTTTTATTGAAGGTGATTAGATAATAATTATTTAAGGTTTATAAATTGACGCCTTTTAACAAATTTTGCAAATGCAAGTAAGAGACATCTTTCTCTCAAGAACAGAAAATCACATCTTTGGAGAATTGTGATGGGAAAAACAGCCACAAACGGAATTAATAAAATGCGGAATTAATCTCCGTTTGGCTAAACTTTCCCCAACTTGAATGAACCTTTGAGGATGCAAACAAATAGGGTGTTCTTAATACAATTAGAACACACAATATTGCTGCCACACACCAATATAATGAGCTAAAACAGTAAGCACACACCACACAAAACACCGGAATTTTAGCGTGGAAAACCCGTTAACTAGGGAAAAACCACGGGACCATTTTGGCCGCTTAAATCCACTATCATCATCAAAGGAGCAGTACAAAGTCTTCTGTAGATAATACTAGAGGCATACAAAGTCATCATATCCTTGAAAGTAAGCACATCAAGGTGTATGGAATCAAAATAGAGCCAAGATAAGAAATATATCACCAGAAAAATAGCTAGCAATGAAACCCGACGTCCGGACCTCAAAACCCGATCTCCACCGTCCAGAATGTTGGCTCAGATGCTGTGAAGCTGCTGTCCAAAAATCACGACGATCCAACGGTTCAATCTCCGGGAAACGGAAGTTTTCTGCTGCTGCCTGCTGAAAAACGGGATGAGCACACTCAGCTCATGTTTACGACTTATGCTCTCTTTTCTGCTGCTCTCTTTCTGTCCTCATATGTTGAGATAGTAGCTAACCCATATTTTAGTATTAGCTCCCAAAAAAGAAAGTCAAAGAAGACTTTTAATGGACTCAAAACTTGGGCTTTCCTCATGGGTCAAAAACAAAGAAAAAACCCAACAAATCTCCCCCTTTTTGACTTATGAGGAAGAGTTCGCCATACCGGCGATGGAGCAACATACCTTCAACTTTTCCCTTGCTAGAAACTTCGTCAACATATCGGCACCATTATCATTGGTATGAACTTTATCAAGTTCAAACAGTTTGTCTTCAAGTGCATCTCTAATCCAATGATACCTCACATCAATTTGTTTGGTTCGTTTGTCAAACATAGAATTTTTAGCAAGGTGAATAGTACTTTGATTATCACAAAGAACCACATAGCGATGTTGAATAAAGCCAATCTCTTGCATAAATCTTTTGAGCCATAATAGCTCCTTACAAGCTTCTGTTGCAGCTACATACTCAGCCTCGGTGGTGGATAAAACCACACACTTTTGCAGTCTCGATTGCCATGACACAGCTCCCCCTGCAAAAGTCATCAAATATCCAGAAGTGGATTTCATGTTGTCCTTATTTCCTGCCATATCAGAATCAGTATAACCAACAAGTACTGGCTCCCCATTTCTAAATGTTATACCCAATTTGGAAGTACCACGTAGATATCTGAGAATCCACTTCACTGCTTCCCAATGCTTCTTACCTAGATTTGACAGAAAACGACTAACAACACCTACTGCATGGGCAATATCAGGCCGTGTGCACACCATAGCATACATCAAACTCCCTACAGCTGAGGCATAAGGAACTCTATCCATCTCTTCAATCTTCTTCTCAGAAGATGGACAATCTTTATCTGTCAACCTGAAGTTGGTAGTAAGAGGTGAACTAACCTCTTTAGCTTTGTCCATGTTGAATCTGCGAAGCACCTTCTCAATGTATTGCTCCTGTGACATGTGTAGCTTCTTCAAAGCTCTATCTCGAGTGATCCGAATGCCAAGAATCTGTTTTGCTGGCCCCAAGTCTTTCATAGCAAAAGACTTGCTCAATTGCATCTTCAGCTGAGTAATTCTTTCTGCATTCTTGCCAACAATTAACATGTCATCAACATATAACAATAAAATAATGAAATCATCATCATCGAACCTCTGGAAGAAAACACAATGGTCTGAAGTAGTCTTTCGGTAATTTTGCTCCCCCATAACTGACTCAAACTTCTTGTACCACTGTCTTGGTGCTTGCTTCAACCCATAAAGACTCTTTTGAAGTCTACACACATAACCTTCTTTTCCCTTAACCTGAAACCCGTCAGGTTGCTCCATGTAGATTTCTTTATCCAAGTCACCGTGGAGGAAAGCTGTTTTGACATCCATCTATTCAACCTCAAGATCAAGGCTGGCTGCCAAACCCAGAACAACACGAATAGATCCCATCTTCACGACCGGAGAGAAAATCTCATCAAAATCAATACCCTTTCTGTGACTGAACCCTTTGACCACCAATCTAGCCTTGTACCTAGGTTGTGAGGTGTGCTCTTCAGTCTTCACTTTGTAGACCCACTTGTTCTTCAAAGCTCTCTTGCCTTTAGGCAACTTCACCAACTCAAATGTATTATTCTCATGTAAGGAATTCATCTCATCTTGCATGGCTTCAACCCACTCCCTTTTGTGCTCATCTTCCATGGCCTCTGCATAACACTCAGGCTCTCCCCCATCAGTGAGTAAGACATACTCATTAGCTGAAAAACGGGTGGAAGGATGACGATCTCTTGTAGACCGCCTAAGTGGGATAAATGGTGGCACGTCTGGTACTGGTATCTCTGAATGAAATTCTTCATCCACCTCTGGCTGTTCTGGAGCATCAGTATCATGTTGTTCATCATTCTGAACATCATTATCAAGAGGTGGTTCTACATGCTGAGGAGGCACTGGATCCAAATCAGTAACATCATCATTATGTTGAGGAACTGTATCTTTCTTCTCAACATCTTTCAAGGTCTGATCTTCCACAAACACAACATCTCGACTTCGAATAAGTTTCTTGTGGACTGGATCATATAATCTGTAACCAAACTCATCTTGGCCATAACCCAAGAAAACACATGGTTTGGACTTCACATCAAGCTTTGATCTTTCATCTTTAGGAATGTGCACAAAAGCTTTGCATCCAAAGACCCTCAAATGACGGTAAGAAACATCTTTGCCACTCCAAACCCTGTCAGGTACATCAAAAGACAAAGGAACACAAGGAGTTAGATTAATAACATGTACCGCTGTATTCAAAGCTTCTCCCCAGAATGAATTTGGCAGCCCTACATGTGACAACAAACATCTGACACGCTCCATCAAAGTTCTGTTCATCCGCTCTGCTAATCCGTTCAACTGCGGTGTCTTGGGAGGACTCTTTTGATGTCGAATACTATGGTCTCTACAATAAGCATCAAAGGGGCCAATGTATTCCCCTCCATTATCTGTCCGAATACACTTGAGCTTCTTTCCAGTCTGTCTCTCAACCGAGGCATGAAACTGCTTAAACACCTCAAATACTTGATCTTTAGATTTCAAGGTATAAACCCATACCTTTCTGGAGTGATCATCAATGAATGTGACAAAGTACGAGCAACCACCAAGTGTCCTAGTCTTCATAGGACCACAAACATCAGAATGCACCAGATCAAGTATACTCTCCTTCCTGGAAGGAGGATGGCTCTTAAAGGAAACCCTGTTCTGTTTACCTGCCAAACAGTGCGAACACTTCTTTAAATGAATATCATGCACACCCGGTAACACATTTCTCTTCAACAAAAGAGACATCCCCTTTTCACTCATGTGACCAAGTCTCTTATGCCATAAATCAGTCATGTCAGTATTCACCACAGCATTGACCCTATCCTTGAAGATCTTCGGATGTGTCATGTACAACTTTGAGCATCTTTTACCTCTAGCCACGATCAAAGAACCATGAGTGAGTTTCCATATTCCATTACCAAAGTTGTTGCTGTAACCATCATCGTCAAGTAAGCCTGCAGAGATCAAATTAAGTCTCATATCTGGAACATGTTTTACATTATGTAAAACCAACTCTATCCCAGTGTCAAACTTCAAACAAATATCTCCGATGCCTGCAATCTTTGATAGTCCATTATTACCCATCCTAACATTACCAAAGTTACCTGGAGTGTAAGATGAATAAAAATCCCTCTGTGATGTTACATGACAAGTAGCACCACTATCAACAACCCAACTGGAATCATCATGTGCAATGTTGACCATATCAAGATCAGAACAAATAAGGAACTCATCGGTAGCAGTGTTAACTTCAGCATTGCCATTACCACCCTCATCTTTCTTATGGTTCTTTTGATTGTTGTAATCGCTCTTCTTCTTCTTCTTCTTCTTCTTCTTCTTCTTCTTCTTCTCCTTTTTCAACTGCCTGCAGAATCGTATTGTGTGCCCTTTTCGACCACAATGATATCACTCAAAATCAGCAAACTTTCCTTTGAATTTACTTCGATGCTTCCCTTTGTTACCTGGACCTCTACTCTGACTTCTCCCCCTGCTTTCTGTAACTAAGACATCAGAATGTGAAGAGGAACCTTGTGACATTCTTCTCATCTCTTCATTTAAAACACTGCCTTTAGCTAATTCCATGGTGATAATACCATCTGGTGCAGAGTTGGACAATGATGTCGTAAAAGTCTCCCATGAGTCCGGTAAAGTGCCAAGGAGCCACAAGCCTTGTATCTCATCTTCAAACTTGATACCCATTCCTGCAAGTTGATTTATGATTCCCTGAAAAGAATTCAAATGATCAGTGACAAGAGTTCCATCGTGGTATTTCAAACTCATCATCTGTTTTATTAAGAACAATTTATTGTTCCCGGTCTTTCGAGCATACAACTGTTCAAGCTTGTTCCACAAACTTCGAGCATGAGTTTCCCCGCTAACATGGTTCAAAACATTATCATCAACCCATTGGCGAATATACCCACAAACCTGTCTATGCAAAATATTCCACTCTGCATCTGTTTTACTCTCAGGTTTATCAGTAGTAAACACAGGCAAATAGTAATCCTTCACATAAAGTAGGTCTTCCATTTTGTCTTTCCAAACATGATAATTAGAACCATTCAAATTGATATTCCTACTTGTGTTTGCTTCCATCATTCAAACAAGTGTAACCCAATAAAGAAGAACTCGGCTCTGATACCAATTTGATGGGAAAAACAGGCACAAACGGAACTAATAAAATGCGGAATTAATCTCCGTTTGGCTAAACTTTCCCCAACTTGAATGAACCTTTGAGGATGCAAACAAATAGGGTGTTCTTAATACAATTAGAACACACAATATTGCTGCCACACACCAATATAATGAGCTAAAACAGTAAGCACACACCACACAAAAACACCGGAATTTTAGCGTGGAAAACTCGTTAACTAGGGAAAAACCACGGGACCATTTTGGCCGCTTAAATCCACTATCATGATCAAAGGAGCAGTAAAAAGTCTTCTCTAGATAATACTAGAGGCATACAAAGTCATCATATCCTTGGAATTAAGCACATCAAAGGTGTATGGAATCAAAATAGAGCCAAGATAAGAAATATATCACCAGAAAAATAGCTACTGTCCAGAGCAATGAAACCCGACGTCCGGACCTCAAAACCCGATCTCCACCGTCCAGAATGTTGGCTCAGATGCTGTGAAGCTGTTGTCCAAAAATCACGACGATCCAACGGTTCAATCTCCGGAAACGGAAGTTTTCTGCTGCTTCCTGCTGAAAAACGGGATGAGCACACTCAGCTCATGTTTACGACTTATGCTCTCTTTTCTGCTGCTCTCTTTCTGTCCTCATATGTTGAGATAGTAGCTAACCCATATTTTATTATTAGCTCCCAAAAAAGAAAGTCAAAGAAGACTTTTAATGGGCTCAAAACTTGGGCTTTCCTTATGGGTCAAAAACAAAGAAAAACCCAACAAATTGCGCATCATGAACTTCTTTTAGTGTGAAACATTTCATTTTTTGTCTGCTGCAAATCTGCAATGATTTATAGCTCTAATGAACCCCACAAGTCACTCACTTTCTTTTTTATTGCAATATTCTCTTGTAGATATTTTCTTTCAGGAGTTTTCATTTGTAGACGATGCATTGAAAGACAGAAGTCAATGTTAACAAATTTGATTCATCCAAATGAAAAGTTTGATGTGCTCTTGACCTCTGAGATCTTTGAAGTCCATCCAATCATCCATACGTGCATCTAATGAAAAAGTATATGAGGCAATTGCTCCAATACCAATAATGCCTCATGGTTTAATGCGTACTTTGTAGAAATTAAGCAATGTTTGTGGTTTAATATTCATGGATTAATACATACGAAGTATTTATGGATTAATACATACGTACAAATATGGTTTGTGATTCAATCCTTTATGGATTATCTGTGGGCCTTTTTGCTATCTGATTCGCATGAAAAAGCATCACTTGAATGGTACGCTAAGTAAAGTTAAAATGTTACTAATTAAATGGGTTATATTTTTATCATGACTTGATCATTTCATCATTAAAGGTCAACTTGATAGAAGGAGTAGTCCAGAGTCTTATATACTCCGTAGTATTTTATTGTTTTATAGCTTTCCGGTGTGACAAATACTTTAACACGCCCCCTCAGCTCAAATTTGGGCTGGATAATATTGGGATGTATAAATGGGCCAAACAAACCCTTAACAAACTACCCTTAATCATGGGTGCTAAACAAACAGTCAAACAACAATCGGGCCTGGCTCTGATACCATGTTAAGACCCGGAGTTCCATTCTAAAAGGTCAACCTGTGATACTATATAAAATAATAAAATACTATATAACGTTTTGAGCTACTGCTCCTATAAGGTTGACCTTTTAGGATATAACTCTGGGCCTTAACACATCAATTTAAGTAGATCTAGCGTCAATTTCGGCGTTATCAAACGAGTTCATATTTTCTTAATAGGTAATTAATTTAACCAAGGATAAAACTTGACAAGTAAAACTTCATTATGAGAAATGCGTTAATTACCTAAATAGGTCAAAAAAGTGGCCCAAGAGTATAAATAGGACTACATTTTTTATTTCCTCTAGTAGGACTATTTATGTGTATTTGGACAAATATATCCTTGAGGCTTTCGAAATGTCTTAATTAATAATAAAATCATAAAAAAATAAGAAAACGTAAAATCATAATAAAAACGTAATATTATACAACTAATAAAATATTTATAAAATTATTTTTTAAAAAAACAATTAAAGAATTTAAAGAAAATGTATAAAAAAAACGTCGCCGCCTCTGCCACCCCCCAGCTCCCATCACCGGTTGGAAATCTGCCAACAGTTTTAGTATGTCATAATAATGGCAGATTCAGTGAGAATTTTGGCATTATGATGAGTAATAATGCTATTTTCTTGGCATTTTCGGAAAATAATGGCATTTTGTTTTACAAAAAATGGCAGAATTTTCGTCGATCGGAGGTATCCATATTTCTTTAATGGTTTTTACTATTTTTTACTAATTTGTTTAAAAAAAAATAAAAAAAAATTATGCCAGCAATTTTAGTAATTCGTGGCAGATTCAATGAGAATATGGCATTATGAAGAGTAATAATGCCATTTTCTTGGCATTTTCGGGAAAAAGTGGATTTTTAATCAAAATGACCGAATTTTGACCGATCAAAGGTGGTGGTGGTGGGAGGCGGTGGGAAAGGTATTTAAAAAAATATGTTTGTTTATGGATTTTTACTATTTTTTAATATATAAAAAATCAAAAATATTTTTTTTATTTTTCTTATTTTATATTATTTTTTACGATTTGTTAAAAAAATTTACAACTTTTTATTATTTTATAAGATTTTATTATGAATTATAACATTTCATTATGAAATAATACTCTTAGAGGCATTTTTGGTAGGAATCAATTGTTTAGTCCTATTTGAGATGGTTTAAAATGTAGTGGTCCTATTTGTGCATTTTAGGTTGTTTTTAGTCCTATATAGAGCAATTACTACATGAGAAATCTTTTAAACAAATCCATTTCTATTATCTCATAAGATGTCATACAACTGTACACAATTATTTAAAATTATGTTAGGTAAATTGCTGAAATTGTATATTCTTTAAGATTTTACTTATTAATTATTTTGATCCTAATTAACCTTAAATAGTTACTTCAACTAAAACATTGTTTGTAAAATTCATGCTTTTTTAATATATACTTCAAAAAGAAAAAGAAATCATTTGTAATATTACCTTTGCCCCATTGCCACTTATATATTATGTAGTACGGAGTAACATTTAAATTATCTATATGTTACATCCCGTGCAACGCACGGGTGAAATACGGAGTCCGAGTATTATTTTATAAGACATCACCAAGTGGTTAAATTAGTATCTGAATCAATTATATTGCTAAATAGTTGCTCAACTTTTTTAAATTCAAACCTCTTAAGATTATTGAACACATACTAAATAACTAAAATTACATGCCCTAGTAATGAGGACACTAGGATTTATTGATTTTAACAAAACTGAAATGATAAAATCGTTTTAGATTATTAATATATCAACTGAGTTGAAAAGAAGCTTGTTTAATATACTCTTGGCAGCTTGGAGCGTTGGTGACCAGCAGATAATTACATTCTTTGACAGTTGCACACATATTGTTATTATTTAACTCTAAAGTCGCATTTCAGTCAAAAATACTATTTTCATGCGACATAATTATTCATCATTCAGCCTGATACCCTACTTAAAGAGATTAACTTAATACTATAAGCTTTTAAAAAAAAAACATAGAGAAAATGAAGAGCTAGATAGCTGCCTTGCCACAATTCATCTCTTCAAAGTTCAAATTCATGAAAATGACTTACGGGTTATGTTGTGCAGACATGGAAACACAAGAAACACGAAACGGTAATAGCTTGAAAGGTTATGTAGTGTTTAGGAAATACTGTATTCCAACAGTATTAGCGCTTATTATGAGACTGTTGTGCAGGTACCCAGCAAGAACTGGCGGAAACTATCCGACCTTTTATCCCCTGTAGTATCCAATGGCCATCTTCACCAAACAGAAAGTCTTTGTGATACGATGCTCTGGCCTTGCCTATTAACTTCCCCACAACTTGAGAGTTTAAAGGCATAGGCTCAAACCCAGCCCTCATAGTGCGAGATTGCCACTGCTTGTATGTTTCGGGCCTCTCTACTCTTTCCATGCCTTCACATGCTATGATATTCCTTATTTCGCGCCCCATGAATGCTTGTTCAAAATTCAATCGGTGATAATCATGACGAGGAAAAAGTGTATCAAGTGAATCAAAGAAAACTGAGTATAAGTTGAGAGCATCTCGAAATCGAGTTAGAAAGAAAGGAGAGCCGTGAGATGCACTATGCACAGTATGCACAAAAATATGAGGATTCACTTTCCGGATAAGGTTTAAAACGCCATCCCTCGGGCTGTGCTCACCAAATGCTGCCTCATCTAATAGGTGCTTGAATCGGTAAACACAATTAACAGTAATCACCTCACCACTTGCCAGCTTCAAGTCATCGATCTTAATTGTTTCCCAATGTTGTGCAGCAATGGCATTGTACTCGAATGGTACACCGAAACGCTCGCAATATTTTGCCAAGTGAAGACCTGTCTCCACTATCATTTGTGATGGATGGAAACCTGCTTGGGGAAGCTCAATCCCTGTTATTCGAAGTCTTGGAGGGCCACCAGGCCTCCGTGAAAGATCTCGAATGAGAGTGGGCCATTGGGTACCATGAAGAATACCAAAATCTATAATGTGCAATGATGAGCCTCTTGATGCTGTTTCATAAATCATTCGGTTTGAAAAATTAAATATGAAGCTCATATATGGCACATATGATGAAAAGTGGGATTTTGTCAACCCGGAAGTTATGACAGTATTACAAAATGGAGGAACATAAAGTTGAGTCCCACTTCCACGCAACCGTGCCTCAAGACTGTCAACAAATGCATGAGCTAGCCTTTGGCTTGCATTGCCGGTAGGTGAAGAGTACTGCCTGATCTTCTTCAATGCATCTACTGCACAACTATAATCCGCATCAACAACAGAATTTGCACAGTAGGTTAAAAGAGCCTCCAGATTCACAACTTCACCTTGTTTCTTCGAATGGCTCTTCTGACCACTTCGCCTTTTCTGTTGTGTGCAGCTGGCTCTAGATGGAGAATCATTATCTTCATCTAGCTCTGTCAGCTCAACCTCTTCCTCTATTTGAACTGCAAAGTGCTTCCTGCTCCGTTCTTCTTCCAGAACACTTTCATTTGGACAGTAATGCTTCCTTCTTTGTCTTGGCGAATCGGCCGAATACTCCCTCTCTATATTCACAACACCTTGGTTCAATTCCTCTGTTAGTGGAAGCATTGAGTATTCATCAAAATCAATAACCAAGCGATTAACAGGAGGTAAGAATTTACGAGCTTCCTCCACACCTCTCTTGAAATTCAAGATGGATGCAGCTTCAAGATCACCAAAACCATTTGGAACTGCTGAATCAGCACCACATAGGTAAGCATCCATTCGAGAAATCATTGGATTATCGACGTTATATGATGAACGTCTTAGATCATCCGAGGTACTCTGACATGATGATGTCTGGATGGAGAGATGGGGAGAATCGTTTGCAACAAATAATTTTCCTGGAGGGAAATCAGTAACATCATACGTGTAGCTCCCAATTGAGGTGTCAAAATGTGACAAAGGCTTCTCAAGCAAGGCTTCGTAGAGAGAATCCTCAGTAGCTCTAAGCGCAATGGGATCACAGATTGCATCATGGTTGTTAGCATCATCAATG